ATTTTCATTGAAATGATTAATAAATTTAAAAAGAGAAAGGAAAAAAAAGAATGAATTTCTCTTTGTTAAAGTATGTCTGTCAGAGCAGCACTAGAGAAGATAACTAAGACAGCTATGAATTCAGTTTTTCAATCGTCATTATTAGCCAGTAACGCTTTGGCGTACTAGGTTTCTCACTGAAGACTATGTGATTATGCATACTAAAGCCTGTGTTCTTGGACCAGGAGCAGACTTTTGCTGACTGGATGAGAACAGTGGCCATATGAGCAGCTTCCCTCACACACCCCCAGCCGCCTTCCTGTTCCCACATCTGAGTGGTTCAGGTAAACAAGGAGTACAGTGTAATGTGAAAGCAGGCCTCAGACCCTTCTAGGCCCGGTATACTAAAGCCACTCACTTAGGGCTTTTTTTTTTTAATTTGTGACAAATATATATGTAACACAATATTTGACAACAATCATCACCTCATCCTTCATCTTAAGTAGCACCAATGGCCAATTTGGAATGAAGAATAAAGTGAAAAAATCAGGAAGATTTTATGTAAATTTTTTTGTAGGTTTCACTTCATTTTACTTCACTGAGTGCCTGACAGAAAACAATGAGTCCACCAAATGGTTCTGCAAGAGGCTTTTATGTAAAATTTGAGGAAGTTGAAATACCTGGATTCTCACACAATTTAGTATATGCTACAGTTACTTGTGACCTAAATTATCTCCTGAACTAAACGTAAAACAATAAAATATGGTGTGTGATGAAACAGCTTTTTTTTTAAAATGGCATTAGAATCTGAATGTCTATTAAAAGATTACATATGGATCCAAAAATAGAGGGCTGATATTGGTCTATAAAATGTAAGCTCAAAGTACTTCTACTTTACCTGAATCATGTTTTAAAAGGCACAGTAATGCAACTATATGATTAGGAAGACCAGGAGCAATCTTATTATGAAACAGCCTTTTTTTTTTCAAGCACTGATTTTATCAGGCAGTACAAATGACCAACATGAAAAACACACATATGTAATATGGAAAACACATCATACACATTGTTGTTGTTGTTAAGTGCCGTCGAGTCACAGGCAACTCATAGCGACCCTATGAAGGAGAGTCCTCAATGCTTGGGAGCCTTTCATCCTCTCTCCAGGTTCATAGGGTTTCCGGAGGCAAGTTATTATGGAAGTGGATGCCACTCCTCCTTCCACGCTTGTTTTAATAGGGGAGCTCCACCCCACTCTCTGTCTGCATTGGGTAGCAAACCATTAATGCATTTGACACATCAGTGTCACAGTGTTCAGCCTCATATACACCTATGTAAAGGAATACCATGGATGACCAGTCACAAAGGTATCTCACAAAGCATCCTGAGCAGAGAGGGGCATACCCAGAGGAGGACAATGACAATGTGACCATGTTGTACTTACTGAACTGGCCAATCATGCCTTGTTCATGAAACTAGCTCTTCACCTATGACCAACTACAGCTGACCAGCAACAACTGTCATATTGATAGCAATGTGGCCCATTAAGAAAGATAAAAATAATGCAAGGCTAAAATTAACATTCCTGATAAGAATTTCAAGTTGGCAAATGGCAAAGATTTGCAACTAAACAGCAGTCAAAACTCAAGACCCTTGTGTCCTGGCCTGAGCCAAGTGGTCTGCTGTATATCATGGTCCCAGACTAGGAGAATGCGGAAAAGGACAGAATGTTCTGGGAGTTCTAACAAGACTTCACAAAGCAAAGGCATTGAGCTGGGTCTTAAAGAATCAACAGATATTCCAGAGAGACGCAGAAACCCTACAGGAGAATGAAAAAGGGTAAGAAGTGGAAGATGAAACTTTGCTATGCAGCCAGCACAAGGAATCAGACAGAAAGGGTGACCAGCTTTGGTTTTTCATTAAAATGACTCTCTGGCTGTGAGATGCTGGCCCCCAGGCCCTCAGGGTTCTTAATGTCTACATCAAAGCCTACCATGTGAGGGTGTACAGAACACTGATACTTTAATAATTTTTGTACATTGGGTCATCAAGAAAGTAAGAGAAAGAAGAAAATCATTAGCCTAAGGCAGTGCTTCTCAATGGGAACAATTTTGCTCCCCAAGGGATCCATGGAAATGTCTGGAGATATTTGTAGTCATCACAACTAGGGGTGGTTGAGTTGTGCTGGCATAATACGGGCAGAAATCAAGAATGCTGCTAAATATCCCACAGGCACAGGGCAGACCCTTACAACAACGACTCCTTAGACCCAAAACATGAGCGTGTCAAGGTTGAGACTCTTGGATCTAAAGGATGGACTGAAGAGGCAAGCCAGTGCAAAAATTTCTGTAATCCTGCAGTAATTTTCAATAAGGACCAAGGCAAGGCAACAACACTGGTACAGTGACAAGTGAAGCCAGCTCTGAGCTGGAAACAGCCTTGTCTCATGTGATGAAAAGGATGGAGATTTGCACAAATGAAGGAGCCTGTCACTGTCTTACGCCTGGGTCCAACGCTGATCTAATCAATGGCTCCCCACCTGTGCTCTTGCCCACAAGAAATGCAAAGAAAGTCGAAATCATCAGCACTGAACAAAACATACAAGAGAGAAGACTTAGGAATAACCATGGAAAGAAGGCCTTCAGAATCTATGTTGCTCTTTTATCACACAAAAGTGTTCTTCTATCACTGTTACTGCCTCACAAACAGCAAATCTTTAAGGAAAGGTTAGAACTTGATTTTTCTGACTAAAAGACTTAAGGCCACAAGAACAACTTAACAGACTGGAAGAGGAGCTGGAAAAGACCTATTCCATACCCTTGTCCTTGAATAGTCATCACCTTGTACCCACCTGTGATTTATCCAGTGAGGAATATTATAGTCATCACCCAGACGAGAATCCCGAGGAGCATTTCGATTATGGAGCTGCAAAGACAGAGCCAGCATGTATGAACATGTTGCTGTTGTTGTGTACCGCAGAGTCGGAACCGACCCACAGGCTCACCCTCCAGTGGGTTTTCAGAGGCAGTTCACCACAGGAAAGTAGAATGCCCATCCTTCTCCTGTGGAGCAGCTGGTGGCCTCGAACTATGTGCCTTCAGGATTGTAGCTTTTTGCCATTAGGCCACCAGAGCTCACCATATATAAAGAAGAATCAGCTCAGGGACAGATGACCCAGTAAAGTAAGTAAGGTAGGCATTGGCTTCCCCGTGCTTACTTACAAAGCTACAGTGAACAATTTCACGCTTGGATGTAGCACATCCAAACCTTTGATGTAGCAACCATATAAATTTGCTCACTATAGATTATGAAGAAAGCACACGTAAAGGCTTGCTACTTCACTTACTGCTACTCTGTCCCTGCCAGAGATTGTAAATTTGAAATCTTTGAGTCTGCAAGAAGGTGCTGTGTGTTGAGAGGGAGACAGATGCCAGCCACACTTACAAGCCAAATCCAGGACGCAGAGAAAATATGAAACTGTTACTATAGATTAGGAAGTAAACCTCAGTAAGCCAGAGTTTACCTTGCTTACTGGGTAGTCTGACACCAGATCATCTAAGAACACAGTTAGGAGGTAGAGGTAGAACCACTCCAGTATTTCTGTTTTTAATTGTTCATAAGATCACTCTCAGGCATTACTAGTTCAGTGCCAGAATTCTCAATTTCCATACAGGATTGAGTTTTACCACCCAGCCATCAGGGAGCTCTGGTGGCCTAGTGGTAAGGAGGTGCACTGCCAACCCAAAGGCACATGGTTCAAATCCACCAGCTGTTCTGTGGGAGAAAGATGGGCAATCTCCACTCAGGTAATTTACCGCCTTGGAAAACTCACTGGAGGGTCAGCTATGAGTTAGTTCCTACTCGATGATACACAACAACAACCAAGTCATCATTAAAGGCTTGAGTGTTGCTATGGTGCTGACCAGGTTTTAGCAGAGCTTCCAGGCTGAGAGACTAGTAAAAAAGGCCTATCTACTTGGCAAAATGAGTCAACAAAACACAGATCTGATCCACATCTGAACCTAGGCCTAGGGCAGGATCAGGCACCATTTGTTCTACTGTATATAACAGGATCATCATGAGTTAGGACTGCCAGGATGGTGGCTATTAACAACAAGATTAGAGAAAGACACAAAATATGGGACTGACTGTGGTGTTGTTGTTACATGCTGTCAAGTTGCTTGCAACTCAAAGCAACCCCATGTACAACAGTCTTGAAATCTGCTCTATCCTATGTCAACTTTACTGTCTCTGACACACCTACCCTCATCAACCCCGTCACTAAGTCAATCCATCTCTTCAATGTCTTTCTCTGTCCCTCCACCCTCCCAAGTATGACATCCCTCTCAAGGACTGGTCCCTCCTTGCAACATGCCCAACATATGTCAGACAAAGCCTCAGAATCCTTGCCTTCAAGGAGCAGCCTGGTTTCACTCTCTCTAGGCCTGATTAGACAATGTAATTTGTTACCTTAATCAGTACTAATTCATGTTAGGAAATAAAATGTGTATAAATGATGACATGAAATTTTAATGACAATGTTATAAACTGAAATGTGTGTGAATGAAAAACACATATAATTTGTAAACTCTCACATAAACAGATTTTTCAAGATGAATGAATAAGGAAGAAAGAAGAAAGAAAAAGAGAGAAAGGAATACGAAAAACACTTGGTGCTGGCCTTTGGTTTTTGTTGTTTGTTGTTCTGTGCCGTCGAGTCGTTTGCGACTCATAGCGACCCTATGCACAACAGCCCTAAATCCTGCTCTATCCTGCGCCAACCGCACTGCCTCTGACACACCCATCCCGATGACCCCAGTCACTGAATCAATCCATCTCATAGAGGGTCTTCCCTTCCTGCGCTGTCCCTCCACCCTCCCAAGCATGATGTCCCTCTCCAAGGACCCGTCCCTCCTGGCAACATGTCCAAAGTATGTCAGACGAAGCCCCAGAATCCTTGCCTCCAAAGAGTAGCTTGGTTTAATCCTCTCCAAGAACAAATCAAAATCCAATTACCTTGAACAGTGGGACCGCGTGTAAGGGCTGCTCTCCCATGCACACTAAATCCACACCAATTCCTATAAAATAAAGGCAAAAAGCTGGAGGTGAGGGAGTAGGCGGAGGTAATCACTCCACTCTACATTAATAATGTTATTTAATTGGGTCAGACTATGAAGCAAAGCCTACATCCCATCCTATAATTAATAAGCCTACACAGCAAGGAGCTCTTTGCTGGAGCTCTCGTGGCTTACTAGTAAGGAATTCGTGCCACCAACCCAAAGTACATGGTTCAGATCCACCAGCTACTCGCAGGAGAAAGATAGGCAATCAACTCCCTTGCATTTTACTGCCTATAAAAACCCACTGGAGGGTCAGCTATGAGTCAGTTCTGACTCGATGGTACACAACAACAGACAAAGGACAGAGGCTTTTGTTGTTGTTGTTGTTGTTCCTCTTTATACACAGTGTTTAAAAAAAATCAGTCTTTGACTGTCTTTCAGGTGATAATTTGTAAAAAGAAGACAATCAAGTGTCTGTTACTAAAAAGCTTTCTGGCCAGGAAGATAAAGGAACTTTAATCTCATAACAGAAAACAACCTGTGTCAATTCCTTAGCAATCAGAGCTTGCTTTCCATCTCCAGCTTGGTGAAAATAAACACATGGAGTTGGAGGGGAAAATACATTATCAGAACACAAAATGGAAGGAGGGCTGGACTAGGTGGTTAAGATGATGCTGCCAATATGGGTTGTACGTACGCTGGCCCTTTGAGACAGTCCTCAAAAAAAAAGGGTTCTCCAAGTGTCACAAATAAGTTATCCAAATTATGGTACATTCACACAATGGAACACTATGCAGCACGCAGGAACAACAATTTTATAAATTACTACCTAACTTGTGAGGGACTGGAGACTAATTCATCCCATAAGGACAAGTACTATTTAAAACCATTATTGTAGAATGAGTATGAGGATCCAAGGGATGGGGAGGGTGAGAGCATAGGGGTGAGGAGGGCCAGGGAGGGTTGATTAATCATAGAGTCGTACAATTTGATTGGGGCGGGGAGTGAGGGAAATGGGAAAGTGCCAGTGAAAAAAAGAATGTATTCAAACTTTGTAAATAAACCAGTATAAAATAAAAATTTTTTAAAAAGAGAAAAAAATAAATGCTTTGACTTGGATCAGGCACACCTTAGTCTTTAAACTGATAACGTTCCTCTTTAGCACTTTAAAGAGATCCTTTATAAAAGATTTTCCCAATGCAATATATATATTGATTTTTTGATTGCTGATACTATGAGTTTGGTTATGGCTCTAAATAAAATTAAATCCTTGATTGAAAAATAAACCCAAAAAACAAACAGGTTCTCCAAGTGTCAAAAATCTTGGGAAAACTCAAGGGAATCAGATACCTACTTTAGAGATAATCAAGTTATGCTAATACATAAAAACTCTGAAAATGACTTGCAGTTAAAGAACAAATTGTTTATTTATGTAGGATGCAACATTTTCCAAACCAAGTTACCCATGAAATTCTTCTTGTCACCCAATACCTACTCAAGGGCTCCTGGTGATGCTTGGAGCACTCTGGGAATCTCTCCCCACTCTGTGCAACTGGAAAGGCACTGAGGTCAAAATGAGACTGTGAGCACAAGGAGACAAGAATACAAACCAGACAGAGAGTTACCGTTATCTATCATCCGCTGCTTGGTCAAGATCATGAGTAAGCGGTCCACTTCAAACACGCCCACCCCAGGTGTGATCACCACAGACATCTGCCCCGTACGGTCAAAGTTGCGGTTGATGTAATGTTTGTCAAACACTTGAAGAAGGAGTAAAAAAAAATGAAGATGTTACAGATTTTCAGAAACAAATCTCTGGCAGACATCTCTGTGCTTTTGGAAAATTTTATCTCCATTACCTGTACAACAAGTGCAACATCCGGATATGAGTTCTAGTGAGACACATGCATGCCTGTCTCTTTCCTTTACATTAAGAATTGCTTGAAAACAAGGTTATGCCTCTGGCACCCGGCCTAAATCCTCATCACTGATGCCTAGTGCTTACCTTAGGTAGCCTGAAATGCTGAACTGTTGTGCTATTGCTTCAAACTAACTGTGAGTGAATCGGTATTGAAACTTAAGAAAATCTAATAATATTTTACAGTAATATTCAAAGAATAGACCAGAATTTTGAGACTTCATAACTTTGTTGTTGTATGTGCCGTTGAGTTACTTGCAACTCATAGCAACTCTATGTACAATAGCTCTGAACCCTGCTCTATCCTGTGCCAATCTTATTGTCTCTGACACCCCTTTATCCATTACCCGAGTCACTGAGTCAATTCATCTCATCAAGGGTTTTCCTCTCTTGCGCTATCCCTCCACACTCAAGTTTGCTGTCAGGGACCTCTCCAGAGTACTGAAGAGCAACGATGTCAGTCTGGAGACTAGGTGTGCCTGATCAAGGCCATGTTGTTGTTGTTGTTATGTGCCGTCGAGTCGTTTGCGACTCATAGCGACCCTATGTACAACAGCCCTAAAC